ATCTTATACATAATTTATTCCAGAACGAGATAATGATAGTAAAAAATTATTTTCTATTATCAAATACACGATATTTTCATTCAGTCTGAAAAAAAACACTTACAAGTATCAGAAACGTGCTCAGGTAAACGTTATGCCACTTGAAGTACCACTGTATCTAATTCATGTTATACTCGTCAGTTACCTGACCTTATGTATTATTCTTTATTTTAAAAAAATGAATAAGTAAAAAAATTTGTTTCTTGTTTTTCGAGCCACTCAATAGTCTAGAACTAGAAAAAAAATCCAAATTATGGATTTTTTCTCTGCAATATTCTAGGCTTTCATATGATGTTTTAAGAAACATTGTTCGCGATATCGACCAAGACCCTCCTGGTTTCTCATTACTTTAGAAAACATTATATCAAATATCTGTAATGTAAAAGATATATATCTCTTTCATCTCCCCGCATTCACTGGTATGTCTCCCGTTTTAACTGTCCGTCACACCGCGGTCATCCTTTAGGGTGTGGTGGTACGCACGCATTAACCTTCTGAACCAAGTGTGAATGACGTCACTGGAGTAGAGTGACATGGATGAAAAGAATTGGTTTTGTGTAGATTTAAAGATAATTTCTGTTATCACAGAGAAACATATATGATTTCCTCGCTGTTTGATTTTAAATTGAGAGAAAAATACAAACACGAGTATAAATATTACTGATTTCGTTCTCGATCTTTCGACGCTTTACAATACACTGATCACGTCAGAAAGGCCGTGACGTCATATGAAATACAGTGTTTAGAAAGGGAGATAAATCTCATGTTGAATTATACAATTCATACAATACTGTAAAAATTGTTATTTTTGCGTTGTTATAATTTCCACGATACAACAGTAAAATATAATTCAAGTAAGATTTAGTCCAACATAGAAATTGTTAAAAAGTATCCATCTAGATACCGATTCTTGGAACCTCCTATGTCAGATAAAGACATTGAAATTCACCAATTTCATTAAAAACTAAAACATGATTTTATAAATATGATTTTCACTAAACTGTGGAGGCAAGAGCTTGTCATGCACTGGGATATATATGGCCTGTTTTATAAACTTCATTTGTCTGTACATCGATAACGCGAAAATTTGATCCCGCTGAATGTTCAATTTCAAGTAAATTGGATGTGAAAAAACCGTTAAGGCGTTTGGTGTGACAGGAATGCGTGTGCACTATACGAAAATGTATTTGTCTCTAACAGACGTAGATTGTCGGTAGGAACAAGGGAAAATTGTAAGATATTGGGTTAGCAACATACAACTGTCGTGACGAGATTCTTAAAAGCCAATCCCTCGTCGCACCTCGGTTTGGTCATTGGAGAAGAATGTTTTCGTGACGAAAGAGACTTTAAAGTAGATAAATATTAAATTATTCACACCAAACTTCTAGAATTTATGCCTTCGCCGATTTGATACTGATAAATGTGTCTGTAAATATGTACCTTCCGAAGTCATCGTTACTATATATAGCGAACGCTTAATGGTATTGTGTATGGGAATTCAAAGTGGTCAAAAGAATAAAAATACAACTTTCAAACAACTGTATACATGGCCCGCCTTGACCATGTTGTAGCAGGATATTTTCAAAATCACAGTATGGTTTGAGAACTTCCGACTCGTTCATTATTCAAAATATCTTTCCAAGCTTTCATATGGAGATAAATACATTTTTAAAGTCTTTATTAATTCATTAAATTGAACAGACAAATGATTGTATGCATTAATGGTTTGAAAAGCAAATTGCCAAAATCGTGATGGAAAAAAATCAGTTTTAACCAATCAAGATAAGAGTCTGTCTGATTTCCTATTTACCTGATTTCCGGTTGAAGGCTCGGGAACTTTCGTCATTTTCCGAAAAGGAGAAAAGCATTGTGTCTTTTGTGGATCGACTGAAGTTTGTGATTTCATTGCCCGTCTTGTAACTGTATATAGGTTTGTTTTTGTTTTTGTTTTTGTTTTTATATATATATATACATATATAATTTAAAGATTTATGATCATATTTGAATATCCATAAACAACATTTTATGTCTACTGTTTGTATAAATGTGCGTCTTGTTGATCATAATGCGCTCGCTATATATGGCATTGCCTATTTCATATAAAATGTAAGATTTGCCACCTATTTCGGATCGTATCGTGAAGTTAAATGCTTTCTATGACAAATCTTTGATCGGGCATAAATCTGTCCGACTTCCATCAGCTCTGTTTGCAAAGCATTGTGACGTCACGAGTGACCGTAACTGCCAAATATGACCCCTGAATATTGATGACCATCACATTGTCATGTCTGTGAATGGATGCCTTACCACAACGCTGGCCATTATATACTCTAGATGCATTGATAACACGTAAACACACGATTAACTCGGACCATTAAAGAAGGACCGATCTCGTGGGCATCGTCCTGTTAACGAAACGCTTGTAAATATCTAATATGGCAGCGAATCAAGCGGCGATGTGATAAATGCCAGATTCCTGAATTACATTAGGAATTATCTGGATATGTTTAAAGGAATTTTGCCTTGATGTGAGTGTTATTGTTCCAATGGGAAAAGTTGTATGATATAGATAAGTATTTTAAGTTATGATTATGTTGCTCTTTTTGAATTGTATGTATTTTTTTAGAGATGCTTCAGGAAAGCTGTAACATTATGAAAGATAAGCAAATGTTTCCAACATGGCACTAGCTATAGCTATTTTTCACCTATTTGTACGGAGCTTTTATGATAATCATGATTCAAGGACGCGATATCGATAAGTTGTAACTTGCCTAATATGCAATGTGGCTGTTCCGCAACTTTTAAACATATATGAACATATTTTTATATAAAATTGTTTTGGTACCATAATATGGTCTGAAGGACAGAACACTAGACAATAGCATAAGTTACTCTCTTTTTTTCCCCTTTTACATCGTTAAGCGTATTCCTTGTACAGCATATGTGCCTTTGTATTGCCTCCAAATTTAATATTCTTCGTTGATTGAAATTGATATCAATTACCTTTCACATGATATCCAGTGGTATACGTTTGGGTTGCAATAGCGCAGTTGATAGGATGTTGGACTTCAAACCTCGAGTGAAGATTCGGGATGTGTGAGTCAACAAAATGGTCTGGAATCGGGAAATTGTTTTCTTCCTGTGTAATATTCCGCACCTTCATATTATTTGATAAGAAACATTGTTCGCGATATCGACGAAGGCCCTCCTGGTATCTCATTACTTTGAAAACTGTTATATCAAACATCTTAGACGTAAACAAATATCTCTTTCATCTCTCAGTATTCACTGATATGTGTCCCGTTTTAGCTGTCCGTCATACCGCGGTCATCCTTTAGGGTGCGTTGGTATGAACGCACTAACCTTCTGAACCAAGTGTGAATGAACGTCACTTGACTCTGTGACAACAGAAATTATCTTTTAATCTACACAAAACAGTACTTTTTATCCATGTCACTACATGGATAAAAAGTACTGTTTTGTGTAGATTTAAAGATAATTTCTGTTGTCACAGAGAAACATTTATGATTCCCCACTGTTTGATTTTAAATTGAGAGAAAAATACAAACATGAGTATAAGTATTACTTGTAATCAATGAAGTAATAGCGACAGTACGGACAATTGCATTGTCAAATTTTCGTGGCAACCTGCCCCTTTATCAAGACATAAAACAAATACAAAGTTGTAAATCTAAATCGAGAGCGGTGTTTTAATTTAAGGTGTCTCGATAATCCCTACTGCCGATGGACGCCGAAAGCCCTTTATAACGGAAAAAAACCAGTCTAAGTTGTTGTATGGAAGATGGTGATTAAAATATCAAAAATGTTTTATATCAATCTTAGTATGTTATGCACTCTAGACATTGAACGTATATGTGATCGCAACGAAAGCAATTACATGTCACACTCCGAGGAAAGTAGTCTACCTCCATATCTGCCGATATATATATATATGATGTTTTGAAATCCATCTCCATCTCTGGTTTTAAGGAAAAATACAAATACGAGTAGTAAATTTTGTAATTTCCGTTCTTGATCTTCCGATGTTTAAAATCAATAACAATACGTTTTTGAACTGTATGCATTTTATTTGAGATGCTTTAGGGAATCTGTATCAATATATCACAAAAGATAAATCGGTTCCATTTTAAATAAGTTCGCATGCATTCTTATACATCCTACGGGCTTTTCATTGCCCTCCAAATTGAACATTGTTGATTGATTGAAATCGTTTTATAATAATTGATTACTATCACCTGACATCCAGTTGAATACTTTGGGGCCACAAAAGCCCAGGCGGTAGAGTGTGGACTTGGACTTTTTAACCTCGGGGAAAGATTCGAGATGTCTGGTTCGACGATAAATTAGCCAGGCTGTTTGTTAATTCCATGAAACTAAGAAATTAACCATCCTGTGCTGAAGTGGTTGTGTTGCAAAATATTATACCGTGTTTGCTCTGAATGACAAGCAGCGGGCCTCTCGTATGTCGTTTAGTGAGGTAGTCACCCGCTAATTTAGGGAAACATCCCTTCAAAATTACTCTGGCTGTTGCTGAGACTATTAATTTTTAAAAAATTAGATATATGAACGTTTCAGAGAAATAATTCAAATTCATTAAGTAGCGACATGCGTTAAAAGAGATGAAACGTAATTCGCGTCTAGATCCTGATGGTTTGAATAAGTAATCCAACAACTGTATACATTATATTGTAAGCTTGTCATCATTCTCTATCAATTAACGGAATCTTGGATAGTGAATCAAGATCGATATAAAACGCCGATAGTGTAATGAAATGGTGATATGTTACTATCAAGTAAAGGAATGTTCATAAACTTGTTACACAATTTAGAGGTTTAGGAGACTTTTTTTCGTTACATAGTACCAAGAATGAATAACGTGCTCATAGAGATCTCTGCCATTTAAATTTAGAATCTATTACAAGTTTTCTTGTTATTTACAGTTGCGGTAGTGGTGGCGTTTTTTGTGTGCTGGGCACCGTTCCATGCCCAGAGACTGACTTCATTGTATATAAAGACATGGACACCAGAAGACATTGAGATACATAGCAAACTGTTTTACGTATCGGGTAAGTACAGTGTCGGGTCATATAAAGGTCAGAGGTCATGAAAGGGGTCAGATGTATACAGGATTATATGGTGGAATTTTACTTGAATAAATGTAAAATGTCATGTATAGGTTTGTGTACTTAATAATGATTTCAGCTGTGATGTCTTTTCAACACAGAGGTAGTCTATGTCAATATTTAAGGCTGATAGGCATTGCTATCGTGTACTTTTACTGATCAGTTTAATGGATATGAAGCGAAAAGCTCAAAAAACAAATATACATAATATTGACACTTTCGGAACACCTGGTATGACAATGTCCTGTTTATTAGGTGTCTTACAGTTCGAGTTGTTTCTTGTTTTTAGGTGCTTCCTCCGCTGATATATGTTGTCTTTCTTTTTGTTTTGGTGTCCCCTCTGTTTCTTTTGAAGTCCCTCCTTTTTTGTGTCTCTTTAGTTCCGTCTGTTATGTTGTTTCACCTTTACTTTTGGATCTTTTCAGTTCCTTTAGTTGTTTTACCTTTAGTTTTGGTGTCTCCTTAGTCCTTTTGTTGTTTTACCTTTCATTTGGTGTCTCCTTACTCCTTTCACTTTTAGTGTTGGTTTCTCCTTAAATCCTTCTGTTGTTGTACCTTTAGTTTTGGTTTCTCCTTAAATCCTTCTTTTGTTTTACCTTTAGTTTTGGTGTTTACTTTCCCTTTTGTTGCTTTACCTTTAGTTTTGGCGTCTCCTTGGTTTCTTCTGTTGTTTTACATTTTGTTGTGGTTTTCCTTCCTTTCCTACAGTTGACTTCTGTCACTCACTTATGTCTGACTGATTTGTTTTGATGCTTCCTGTTTTTGTTGTCTCTCCTTTCTTATGCTTTTTTTGTTTTACATTTTTGTCGTTGTATTACCTTGTTGCTGACTTTACTTTTATTGTTGTGTCTCCTCCGTTTCTGGTGTAGTCTTCCCTTTTGTTTTGATGTCTCCTCTGTTCCCTACTTTCAGTTTCTGTTCTTATCTTCACTTTAAGTGTCTTCCCGATCTTCCTCGTGTCGCCACCTTTTCATTTTCGACTCTAAGTCCTTATGGAGTCAGAAGCTTTCATTTCTTTTTCTCTTTGTTTGTGTATCACATACAAAGGATGTTGATCCAAAATCATATAATTCTTAAGCAGATTAAATTAATCAACTCAGAACTTTTTATTTCTAAATAATATGTCCGAAAAATGAAACCTTACATCACACCATCATAGTAAATTATAGTACATATACATAATTATGAAATAGCAGACATTTGGAGTGCAGAGATGCCATAACATGTTTTGATGAATGTCGAAAATTTTGTGTTTCGTATAATAAAAAAACTTTCGGAAATAAATTATATAAAAGCTAGTGGTGCATACTAAATGTCTAAACTTAGTATGAAAAATATAAAGTTTTCTTTCAAGGACACCATTATTTAGAAACATGAAACATTAATTTGTCTGGTAATCTTAGGCCATATGTGTTTATACGACTGAGAATCCCCCCTCCAGTCATTAAGTGACACGATTGTAGTATCGAGATAAAGTGAAATACATCCGGTAGTGAGAATTTCCAAACGCATTTGGGCCTATTAATGTTTCTACGTCCCGGTTTAGCAGATATTTTTTAAAAAGTAATGCTTTCTTTGGCTGGCGTTGAAATGGATTTTTGTCCTCGCTGGTAAAATTATAGAAATACTTGCGAAATGATTTACTTGACAAGTCGTCTGTATAAATTGCACACTAGGTGTGTAAGACAGTAATTATTTTGTAACAGCTGAGCATGGTTTTTTTTTTTCATTCAGACTTTTGCTTTTATAAGATTGATTTTTCCCCCTTCGCGTGTAAAAGCATCGGAAGTAAACTTGTGCAGTGTTCATGGTAAATGTTTAACTGTTTGATGATACTTGTAATGACGACTGTAACCTGATGCAGGTTAAACTGCCTTTACATGATACCTATTATATTGAAGCTGTCGTGATTTTGGTTATCAGCTTATCTGGCCAGTTATACTGACATTGTTTTTGCTGTTTCATATACAAATTTCTTTTTCGTTGTATTTCCACTTTTTATCATGTCTATTCTCCTAGAATTCAGACGTTAATCATGATTAATTTAATATCATGGTTTCCCTTTATTTTCAGGTGTTCTTTATTTCCTGAGCTCAACCGTCAATCCCATCCTCTATAACGTCCTTTCAAGGAAATTCAGATATGCTTTCAAACGGACATTCTGCCGGTGCTGTCTCAATTTGGAGGCTTTTCCAACGTTTTACAAATTAAAAGCTATTTTTATCAATAAAAATGAACAACAATCAACAACACCGAGTGGAATGAGATACTTGTTTCCACAAAAACCTATAGTATTAGACACATTCTACCAAAAACACAACAGACGTTTGTCAAAGACAGAAAACCCCTTGAATCAAGGTTCAACCAAAGACACGCTGTTAAAAGTTTCCACCGGATGTGGATCTAGTAGTGGAACGCATCCACATTCAGACGGTCGTCTACATTGTTTGTGTCGTCACAAAAGCTGTTCCAGTCATCGGACGCGACAAAGTATTGAAAGTCAAATGTTTTGTAAACAATTCAGTAATGCGTCCTACCAAGACATTGAAACGCTGAAAAGACTGCAGTGCTTTCGGGATGAATGCCATCTGAAGTCCTTTGATTCAGTGCCGGAAGTTATGGAACATGATGTTAATGTTAATTTGATATAGTTTATATACATATGTATTAAAAGATTTTGCAAGCCGTATAAAATCACATTGCTCAAAAATATGATATGATGATCCAAAGTATAATAATTCCAATATATTATGTAAACTTTCTCCTTCATGCTTTATTTCTGCTTAGATGTAATTTCAGTATTTATCAGATTTAAGAAGCTGAGAAGTATGGTCGAACCTCGTTATCTCAAAGTCGGCGTGACCGTGGGAAAACTTCGAGTTATCCGAGTATTCGATTTAAGCGAACTTCGAATTAAATGGGAGGTTCGAGTTATAAGAATTCGAGATAACGATTTTCGGCTGTATGTACAAAACACTTTTCAATTTAAGGTTCATAGATAAGAAGATAAGATCCTGTACCACGTATAGACGTATAAAATTCGACATAACTCGGCATTTTTAAGTTTAACCTTTTTAACCTTAGGGTTATCTTTTTTTTTCATTTCGGTAATTTCTCTGGCTAGAATTGATGGTAGAAAATCGTTAAATCGAATGATATACAATATTTTCATGTCACATTTGTTAAAACCTTGGCTATCTAGCTTTACACTTTTGTACTTAACATGGGCATAGCTTTGCGATGTCCTACTGTACATATTCTCTTCAGAGCGATCTCAATCTTTACTTCACAGTAAAATGAGGAGAGCCTTATTTCAAAACTATATCGTAATTATGAAGAAGAATATTTGTTCGTTAGCTTTCCGTTTTTGCAACTTTTTTTTAACCGAAAATCAGACTTCGGGACAATTTTGAACTAACATAATCCAAGTTAAAAATAGAAAGGATCTCTTTGAGGAAGAATGGAATTTTGCCCACGGACCAAATTAAATAAAAGTGGGTGGTATTTTGTAACATCATGAGCGACTACCAATGAAATAGAAACTTAAAAATTCTAAAGATCCGTAGGGCCTGCTCTACGACCCATTTAGTGTCGTTACCATAGAAATATGACAGGGTTCATTTTTTCATCGTTGGTCCTGAAAGAGATCCTATGAAAATTTCATGTTGACGAGTAAAACACTAGCACTATTTCACAACATAAAAAATATTTCATGAAATAAGAAGCTGAAAAAAACATAACTGTGCAATAATAGATTTTAAACCTGCCTATATCAATCACAGACTTTTCACTGCTTCCATTATGTTGCATTTCGATCAGTGTTGTCTGTTAAATTATTCTTATCTATATCACATAACTCTAACTTGTAATTTTGACCGATATGAAGTTGAAATTTGCAGGATAAAATCAACCTGAGGCAACCATTTGCTTGCGCCATTTTCACCTCAGGACGTAACGTTATGATCCCTAATACCACAATTGGTTTCTGATGGGTACAGCCAATGAAAATCGCTCCCGGATATATTACACCAGTGACAGGTATACGCAAAAAAGTTAACATGGGCGAATTCACTGGATGAGAGGTGGATTACATGATAAAATATCATGAGTTTAAGGAAGAGTAAATCTGAGCTTGTCTATACAGTGTATGCATTTATGATCCAAACCGCATGTAAAATGAAAGCTGTCAGACCGTTTTGTCAGAGCGTTAAGAATTGCTTTTGCGTGCTCCAGTCACTTGGTTCCACAAAAAGATACCAGAGCTGAGAAAATCTGTTATTTTGATTGACAATGACGAAACATAATTTCTATCAACCGATTTCTTTTCAAAACCCTGTTTTAAGAGTTTGTCTGTCGGTTGACGACATCTTGCACGAAAATCATGATATTGAGAACAGAACCTTGAATATCGAATCAGCATAGGATGAGGATTTTGCTGTCTAGAAATGATGGCAAATTCATAATTGGTAAATTAAGATAATCACGCTTATCATACCGCTATGTGGAATGCTGTCCATGTTGGTTTTACTGCAGGAAACGGTCGAAATAAGCGACTGGTGTCTGTCATGTCTTTGATTTCAAATACTGGATGGGCGTGGTCAATTAATCTTTCATTATTTGAATACATCTGAAAGTGAGATTTAACGACATTGCAAGGTCTTTGTGATCTGTTTTGATAAGTGCCTCGATATATTCAGCCTCGTTTTAAAACAAAACAAGACAGCCAACAGAGGGGCACAGTTAGTTCCCTTGCCAAAAGTCTATTAGAAGAAATTGCCACCAAACTCGACGAAGATGTTGTCAACCAGAAACTCCATTATTTCATGATTCCATCCATTATATATTTCATCTTTGATTTGAATGCGTTTTTCTTTAATTACGCTTCATTTTTCCGAAGTCTTAAACCTTGTCTTGTCATTTTTTAACTAGTCAAGCTATACAGAATATGTGTCTTTTGTGAGTGTATATTTTTTGTGATTGCACCAATGAAAGCGCTCAAATATCACTCCCATAAAATTGGAAACCATTTATTTTTCTTACCATTACTTTCCGAATTCTAATTTCAGAGATAAGCCATACTCGGACCAAAATATATTCAGACTTCATAACAATATTAGGACCAAAATATATTTGCACTAAATCATATTTCAAAAAATAATTAATGAATAGCAATCAAGTAATTTTGTAATTATGTCATTCCTGACCACAATGCCTTGGAAATGCAAATTCCCATTGAACAATTACGTTGTATATGTAAGCATACAAATTATGGGAAATGTGTATTACGATTGTTTTCGTTCAATATTAACGATTTTTCAATAGTCTATAAAATGGCTCAAAGGGCAAAATATTTGCTATGCTTATATACTTATGCTTTATTTCTACATAACTGTCTTGTTATCTGTGCAATGATACCAATATCGCAAAATGTTGTCATCAAACATGCGATTTATGATCTAGCATGACTGTGATTTGGTCGTCATAACTTCATGGCATTAAATGCATTGCGACGTCCTTGAAGGAAGAGAACCAGCGTAAGAAAATCGCCAATATAGATTTATGTATTAGTCTTAGAAAATGCTGTTAACGAATTTATTACAATAGTATCAAACTTATACGATCGACAGAATTTTACATTTGCTTTCCATTTTATGAAAGATTAATGAAAATCATAATTTTTTTCTCTTGTTTTTCTTTTTTTCTTTTATAGTAAAATGATAAACTCTCATAGTTGTTTCATAAGTTTCATATAAAACTGACACGCGTGTAGCATTTTCTTTATCACCTTTGTAAGCGGAGGGCAATTGAATGTAGTAAATGATAAAAATTCGAATGACAATACTCTTAATTGCCATTGGTCGGTATTTTACTCACCTACTTTCACAAAATATTCCGTAAATTAAAATCGGCAGTTGCTTTTCACTTTTAACATAATAATTATCGTTATTACAAGCTGACTTGTAGTAAGTATATATATATTGACGCTTTTGATGTATAATGCATGAAATCTGCCTTCTTAATTGAACGAAAACTGCTGACCGGGATATATACGGATATTATTGATATTTACATACTACCGCTTTGAAACTACACTCAGATGACTTGCCTTCATTTTAGTTTTTTGCAGCTATTATTTGGTTTTGATTTGAGACTGTATATCTTTCATCTTGCTATCAGCAGCTCACGTTGTTGACAATCTCTAGAGCTGAGGCGCGGTTCATTGTTAAAAACTATACAGATACGGTACCATTTATAGCCAGCTTGCTTAGCAGTACACAAACATCTAACCTATAAATAGTTCGTTATGAGCTTGCTAGCTTAAGAAAAAGCAGCCGATAAGTTTCTGGTGTTTTCAGTATTGAACAGTAGATTGAAACGTCTGAGTTGTTTAGAAGCCACTCGATGATCCTGGCAATATGACAAACATTCTTCGAACAGACGACATGGATGGGAGTTTGATAGCGAATTTTATTTCGAATGGAACACTGACAAACGTCACACGATAAGCTCAAAATGTTTTGGAATATCAATCAAAGATAAAACGATATTCTTATTCGTATACAATTTGTCATAACCTTAAAAAATGTACTTTGACAGATCGCGATAACCATCGTTTTTTTCATAGAAATTATTCTGTACAGGCTATTGTAAAGATTGCGAATATATTGTTGTAATGGCTTCAAATAATTCATATATAACGGTAAACGTTACATAGATATGCGATATTTTTTAACATTAAACTTATTTATGTTTGTGATCTATATATGTTTTTTTTTTCTGAAATAAGTAATTTATTTGCTTTTTCTTTACATATATAATGCGTAGGTAATCAATAAAACAAATCCTACTGACAAGTCCGCTAAAAGCATAATCAGCATTACAGCTTGTGGTAAGATAGACAAAGGCATAATCCACTTCACAGTTTGTGATAAGATAGACAAAGGCATAATCCACTTCACAGTTTGTGATAAGATAGACAAAGGCATTATCCACTTCACAGCTTGTGATAAGATAGACAAAGGCATTATCCACTTCACAGCTTGTGATAAGATAGACAAAGGCACAATCCACTTCACAGTTTGTGATAAGATAGACAAAGGCATAATCCCCTTCAGAGCTTTTGGTAATGTAGACAAAGGCATAATCAGCGTCACAGCTTGTGGTAAGATAGATAGACATATTCATCATCACAGCTTGTGATAAGATAGACAAAGGCATAATCCACTTCACAGCTTGTGATAAGATAGACAAAGGCATAATCCACTTCAGAGCTTTTGGTAATGTAGACAAGGCATAATCAGCGTCACAGCTTGTGATAAGATAGACAAAGGCACAATCCACTTCACAGTTTGTGATAAGATAGACAAAGGCATAATCCCCTTCAGAGCTTTTGGTAATGTAGACAAAGGCATAATCAGCGTCACAGCTTGTGGTAAGATAGATAGACATATTCATCATCACAGCTTGTGATAAGATAGACAAAGGCATAATCCACTTCACAGCTTGTGATAAGATAGACAAAGGCATCCACTTCAGAGCTTTTGGTAATGTAGACAAGGCATAATCAGCGTCACAGCTTGTGGTAAGATAGATAAAGACATAATCCACTTCACAGTTTGTGATAAGATAGACAAAGGCATAATCCACTTCA